TATAGTTTGTCCAATATTTTCAAGTTTTGAGCAACTAAATTGCACTAAAAACATCTTTTGAAATATACAGGCTTATAGAAAATTACATTCTCTCCAAGATAATATGCTTGGATGTACAGTAGCTATCTTCCTTGGACACGATTAGTACCTATTTATTCATGTACATTGTATTGCGAGAAAAGAACCAACATTTTTTCCTTTCTGTTGCTTTTTCCATATCATATATACGATGACGTCGATGAAAGAAGTTCAAGAAAATGCATTTGAACAGATAGGTATTAATTGTGTCTAAGAAAAGTAGCTACTATGCATTCAACTTACATCATCTTGTAGAGAATTTAATTCTCTACAAGTCTGAGTCATTGAAAAACTTTCTAAATAAAATATAGTTACCCGAAAATTGAGAATATTAGGCGTGGTGTATCAAATATTAATTGTAATTAGCGATTATGATAGGTAACATTTGAAAAATGTCAGAAAAAAAGATGTGGGTGGATTCAGCGTGTTCTGTCCTTTCAAATCATATATTTTGACTTATGTTTCCATTTTTCTGAAGCTGGAAACCCAAGGTTTTCTGTCAAATCTATGGTGCTTCCAGTATTCCAGAATTTTCACCATCCTCTTACCTTCTTTTTCAACTTTTGATCGTATCAACATCTAGAGAAATGTTTTCTCTATCAAATGATACATAATTCGAAATGTTTCAATACAAAATAGAGCTGTAATAAGGAAAAAAATGCAGGTGTCCGAAGAATTTCTTTGCTGTCGGACGCGATCATTTCTAGGAGATCCCTGTAACACTTTTCGAAGACCATATAGAGAAAAAACTATTTCAATACGAAAGTAAAGATGATGACCTATCCAATGATGTCATCAGAGTCAAAAACATATGTTTTCTTCATTGAGAAATCTGCTCCACAAGATAGATGTTGACAGCCGTCCGAATAATTTTTGACGCCGGGTGGGTGTGGGGTGAATTTGGATGTAAGTGTAAGTGAGTGTGGGTGTGAGTGAGTGTGGGTGTGAGTGAGTGTGGGTGT